GGTTACGCCGGGCCTCGAACGGCAGAATGTCCAAAACTGGATTTGAACGGGACCACCGCGTCGTCCCCCCTCCCCCACCCCGTCCCCAGAACTACACATGCTGGCTATTCTGTTTCGCAACATGTTCTCTATCTATGGCACGTCTCTACTGGGAGTTGTAGTTTTAAAAGACGTTTTCGTATTTCCCATAATAAGAAGTTGCCAGTATTAAACTGTGTACATCCCTGGAGGTTTAGGGGATAGGAAACACTCACATTTAAAACATATAATTAATAAATGGGTGAAAATTGCTTGTGCCCATAAGGGGCAGCATTAATATATATACACACATGCCAGCTAAGGTCAGAAGAGCTTTATTTAACAGCTGGTCTTATGTTTGTGACCCCTGTTGTTAATTGATAACATTACATTACATTAATTGATAAGCCTGAAACATGCACTTGTCAAGGTTCAGAGGCACATTTTGCAAATATGGCAGTAGCCATCGATCAGCTTAAGATAAGATATACTTTATTGATCCCAAGTTGGAACATTTGCGTTACATCAGCATGTGTAACAGTTAAATATGCAGTGGTGTTCATTTGTAAATCATTTAGTATAATCACACAAATTCTGTGTTTTATATTCAACAATTCTGTGTTCTTTATTTATTGATTGTTCAATACCTGACAAGGCCGGAGATGAAATATCTACATACATCTTATAAGAGTATAATACATTATGTATAATATCAGTTAAAATAAGTGCTTCAACATAGTTAACATTGCTGGAGGTATGCACAAATATTGATAGATGTCTTGTAATGCACTATTGAGGAACCTGCGACCCAAGTTTTTCATTCAATGCAGAACTACACCATAGTTGTGTAGGCCTATATGATATGTCAATAAACCTTAGAAAATCTTGAAATCTTGAAAGGGATGTGCAAAATAGTCATTATATACAGTCTTTAATTAACTATTAGTAGAGAATAACGAGTAATGAATATACTTTATAGGGATCCTATTAATATCTAATAATACAAATAATGAAATTCAATAACATGCTTTAACCACTAGGTGTCCATTTATATCAGCTGTGCACCTTTATGGTGTAAATACAGCATATCTACCAATTGGATCAAATATAAAAGTCAGCCGAATTAGTGTTGATACTGCAACGAGACGTATTGTGTGAAAATAAATGTAAGATGTTGTTTAACTGCTGATATATTTATGATCCACGTCACGTTTTCAGTTCCTCATGTTTGTCTAGAAGTCTTCTCATCAGGGCTCTATAAATACAGAACTACGGCAGATATGTAATATGTAATGCAGCCGAACCGTGTATTACAATGCCGTTATGTGATGACTTTCAAAGAGAAAAGCAAGCACACTCGGAATAAAGTATTTTTTTTTTTTTTTTTAATGTTTTCGGTCTGTTTCCGGTATTTGTTAATGACGATGTGCTGTGAGATGTGAGACTGGAATTGCACAGGGGAAAATAACGTATCTTCAGATGCGGAGTTTGTTAAACTAATACGTTTGCGCTGTGGACCAACACTATACATTGACGGGGAAGGGGGTAGCAATAAAGATAACACCATTAAACAGTTACACAACACAACAGAATTAATATCGATAGCAGCGTCCCTAGCAACCACCTTGGTAACAATGAAAACTTCCTGAAGTAATCTTCGTAATAACTAGCAAACTAAAGATCATGTACATCCACTGCACACATAATCTGAAATAACAACTCATATTTCTCGCATCAAATTACATCAAAACGCATTTTAATGGCCAAACTAACTTTAAAATAGGCATTTTACACCGAGAATAAAACGAAGTTCGGCCATGTTTTTTTTTTCTGCAGGGAGAAATTTGAAGATCACGTGACGTCAAACAGAGCACATGGTGTAGTCCAAACGATAGCTGGGGATTCTGGGTAGTGTAGTGTCTTCTGCCATCCTTTACTCCGAACAAATATTTGTTTCTCCGAATCGAAGGGGAAAAATACAAAAGCATTGCACACAATTTAAACCAATCAATGTTGTGTAATTAACAAGGATAATCTGGTGTTTTTTAGTCGATGAGTAGTGCAGATATCACTATAAACTCAATCGACAGTAAGGGGAATACTTACTTCCGGGTGTACAATTCTCCGTTATCCAATGAGAATGGACGCTCACATTGCCTTTAAGGGCAGCCGACACAAACGAATGCCGTGCTTCCATGAGCGTCCATAGAAGCATATGGACATCCCGGAAAGCTGAAAATGGACGCTAAGGGCCCCCCTCTTGCGTTGAAAATGGACGCGAAGGCCCCCCCCCCCCTTGCGTTGGAAAAAGCCGACACAGGACTTGACATAACGTCAACATAGGCCGACCTGGGAGTGAGGATGTGTTGGTCACATAGTCACTCACTGACATTTTGCGTGGCTACAGACTGCTCGACGTGGGAGAAGACCATATTTTCAGTACAGTAAGTCATCTCATCATTGATTTCCGTTGTTATGGAATATATGTCCAGGGAGGTTTTAGTTAACAATTTGACTGACTAGACTAGAGTATGCATGAACTAGCCTAGCTAGTCGGTTGAATCCCTGCTAGCTAATTTCAGCAGCTATTCTGACGCTTGTTTTCTTCGGAATTTTGCGCCTACACTAACTTATTATAATGATTATTATTGTTATTTATTATTATAATTGTTGTTATTGTTATTGTAGTAAGCACCAAGGCTATTTGCTCCCTTGTTGGACTGTCACTGTGTCTCCTATTTTCCCGGTGTGTGCGCACGCGCAAGGGCTGGAAATTAATTTTTCAAAACATTTGAATATTTACACAACACATGAACATTTACCAGCCACTGGGGGAAATCTACCAGCCATTCAGCAGTAAACCAATGGTACATTTGTATGTATTTAAAATCTACCAGCCACTGTTATGTTTTACCAGCATTTGGCTGATGGTTGGTGTTCATTTCCATCCCTGGCGTGAGTGTGTGTATATTTTATCAGAAAACAAAGCATATTAATAATTATTGCATTTGTCTTTCAAAGATGTCAGGAAAGAGGCAACTAAGCATTCTTTCATGCTTTCAAAACAATCAGCTACCTAAAAAGGTGGCCAGGTCAGAGGACACTGTAGAGGAGGCAGTAGAGGAGGCAGAAGAGGAGACTGTGGAGGAGGTAGAGGAGGAGACTGGGGAGAACCCATTGGAAACAGAGAAAAGGAGAGGATTATGTGGAGCAGCCACATATAGGTGTTCCTTTAAGAAGGAGTGGTCAACTCAATGGCCATTCATCACAATGGGAACCACCAGCTCCTTCTACTGGTGCTCAGTGTGCAGACAAGAGAACTCCTGTGCTCATCAAGGCGTGAGGGACATAAGCAGGCATGTGGAAGGCAAGGGACATCGGGCCAAAGAACAGTCTCTAAACTCAGTCAGCAGTATTGCACAGTTCTACGTGCCAGAAACTTCTGTTGGAGGCATGAGTGTACAAGAGGCCAAGGTGCATACAGTACAGTATAGCACAGGAAAACTAAAAAGCTGGCGGCAATGTTTGATGAATTACATTTCTCTTCAAATTGATGGTCATATTCAGTGTTGGAAGTAACGCGTCACAAGTAACGCGTTACTGTAATGCCGTTATTTTTCGGCAGTAACTAGTACTCTAACGCATTACTTTATAAATTCAGTAACTCAGTTACCGTTACTACATGGTGCGTTACTCCGTTAGTTTTTTTTATATAGTCAACAGCCAGGCGAACAGAGATGAGAACTGTACTTAAGTAGGCCTACAGTACTTGAGTAAATGTACTTAGATACTTCCTGTGTCACATGCGGAGACGGCCTGTGAGCGTGTTTGTGTTGTTTACTAACAAGACTATCATGGCGGCGGCGGAGCTCAAGTCTAGTTTCTCCAGCTGGAGATATTCTCACTATTTCACTTTTGTCGAGCACAAAGAAAAGAACGTTTTAGTTAAATGTAAGTTGTGTCTTGGCGGGTCAAATATCCTATCTACTGCCCAAACCAGTCATTCAAATATCTTAAAACATCTGCAAAAACAACATGCTGGGACGAAGCTAGTAGCTAAGACCACAGAGACTCAGCCGACGCCACTCCACCTCCACCTAAGCAACAGCGGCTGGATTTTAACCGAGGGACTGCTAGCCAGGGAAAAGTCGATAAAGCCATTGCACGGTATGTTGTAGAACACATGCAGGCTATTACTACAGTGGAGTCACCCGCTTTCAGGGAGCTAGTTAGCATGATAGCATGTCCGGGCGGCACACGGCATATGGGACGGAACACTTTTTCCAACTACCTGGAGAAAGAATATACAAAAATGGAAAGCCAGCTAATATCGATGCAATCCAGATTGCATATAATGCATGTGAAGTTGATCAACAGATTGTATTATTCTCCAATGCACTAACAGTACTGAAATGAAGGCTATAAGGGCATTAATGGGAGCCCTTTTTTCAAGTAACTAAAACGTTACTTGTCACAGATGGCTCGAATGATACTGGTATGTGCTTAACAACTTCTATCAGTAATTAGTACTTATTTTTTATCCATTTCTACATGCACTCATACAATTTGAACAACATATTGTTTTAGTTATGGTCCTTATTGTTACAGGTCTAGAGAAGATAAATCCTCTCACTGTCAGAATTTTTTACACCAACAAAGTTGTGCACAGGTTCCTTGATATGTGCACCACCAGTGGGCGGAGCTGTGGCACCGCTGAAGTGATCTACACAAAAATCAATGACACCTTGCAGGAAAATGACATCCCTTGGAGAAATTGTGTAGGTCTCTCTATTGACAATGCCCCTGTAAATACAGGTGCCATAAATTCAATCTCAGCCAGAATGTTGAAGGAAAATTGCAGTATTTACATCCATGGATGCCCCTGTCATATCATCCACAACACTGCCAAACATGCGGGGCAGAAGTTTATGGAAGTAAGTTCAAACATGTACACTCTATATTACCAATCTGTTAAGCCCAATGCCATGTAAAACAGTTTGCTGATAGTGTTGCAATAGATACTTGAATTCATGTATTGCAGATATCCGGATTTGATCCAGAGGATCTGACCGTGGATGTTGGGTACTGGTTTAAAGGAAGCACCAACCGTAAAGGTTACCTGGCAGGTTTGTGATTCAACCAGCTCTACTGTTATAGAACAAAATGCAGACATTTTTAATTTGTTTACTGTTGATGTTATGTTTTATATTTTCCAGAATTTTGTGAATTCCATGCGAGTACATGGAAATGCTGCTGCACATTTCAGTGCGATGGTTAAGCCTGGAGAGGTGCATCACACGAATTCTGCGACAGTATGGGCCACTTACCAGCTATTTGAAGTCTTTAAGTATGTTGTTTGTTTCATTGACAGTAATACAGGTGCATTACACCAGACTAAATGTGTACTTTTAAGCTGCCAGTGTTCATCCTACTGAACCTCCTCCTCCAGAGAGAAAGGTCTTCCATCTTTCAGCTGCACGGAGAGGTAAAATGCAAGGGTTAGGCCATCCTGCTGCCAAATACAGTATGTCTGCTTGAATTGGCTGATATGTCCTTTTTCAAGTAATACATGGAAATGTTTTATGAACTACAAATTTGCAGATGACAAAGTTCATCAAGAAACTGTGTGCGAGGTTCATGAAGCCGTCAGCACTACAGGGCCGACAAGTCCATGACATCCTCTACAAGGACCCACTAAACCAACTGCCAGGTAAAAGTTTCATATAAGGAGATACACCTGTATTCTCATTGACCTCAAATATACTTTTTCGGAAGATTGTTGTTATTGGGCAAGTTGGGTGATATCTCTGTTATGGCTGTTAAAAAGCATGTGTGTAGGCATACCATGCTTATGTAGTTTATGGGTAAAATTGTATGCTTACATAGAGGAATACCTTCAACCACTTGCACTTATTGTGCACATAGTGCTCAAAACTAGACAGACTGAATCTATACACTGACTGTTTGTCTAGTTTTGAGTTAAATTGCCAAGTGAAATCCCTGTCTCTACCTGATGCATATTGTTGAAACTACCTGGACTTAATTTGCTTCTCTATCTCTTTCTGTTCTCTGTCTGGTAGGAGAAAATCTAAATGTTGGCTTCACCACCAGAGCTACCCTCAATAGGCTCCTTGAGGCTGGAGACATCACACCTCAGGAGGTGCAGCTATTCCAACAGGCAGCACTGGCATTTCTGGTCAGGGCTGTGGAGTATGGCATCAATAAACTCCCTCTGAAGGAGGCTCTTCTGAGGCATACAAGATTTGTGGATGTGCAGCAGAGGACTGAGTGTGGGGTGGAAGATGCCCTATACTTTATAGACAGGTAAGGGTTTCCACATTTTCCAGGATTTCAATACTTTGATTGAATACATTAATCAGTTCTTTACACATGGTGCTCTTTTTAGATTTCAGGAACTACTACCTTTCCATGGGCCGGAGGAACAGGACAAGGTGTGTAAGCAGTTCCTGGAATATCAGCTGATGGATATCCCCATGCCCCAAGATCCCACCACCTTTAATGTTGAGGAGTTTTGGGGGAGTATGTCCTCAATCAAGTGCAAGGTAAGAAATATGTGGCACCACATGACATACAGTACACATAATCAATTGAAATCAAAAGCATTTGAGTAATAGAGTCTCTTGGTTCCTTTTTTGTAAAGGTGACCGGTTTGAGCCAGTTTGGGAGGCTCACTAAAATAGCTCAACTTGTTCTAGTGCTCCCTCACTCTAATGCTGACGCGGAGAGGGTTTTCTCGATGGTTGGACTGAACAAGACAAAAACTAGGAACAGCTTGGCCCTAGATGGAACACTGTCCTCCATCATGACAGTGAAGATGGCAGGCCTGGAACCAAACTGTTTCAGATGGGAGCCACCAACCCCAGTGCTGAAGGCCTCAAAAACTGCCACCAACACCTACAACAAAAAAAACACACACACACACACACACACACACACACACATCCCTTCACTAAGAATGAAATAAATATGTTTTTATTTGTATGAATTTATGTGTCATTTATCAGATAAGACCACCGTCCCCACCCAAAGCCCCGCCACTGCCAAAATCTCACTCTGAACTCTGTTCAAAACTTGAGAGCCCTGTACTTAAAAGGTGGGTGGATTCCCTGACGTAGACGTCAAGATCACCAGCCAATCAGGATTGGCGTAATGAGATTGATGCTTTTGTTGCATACGTGTTGAGGCGCATCCATAGTGAGACATCTCACTTCATGTTACTCTGAGAACTGGGGTTACGTAAGTAACCTATAGATTTCTTCAAATGCCGTTGTCATGGCAACACAATGCTCGCCATGAAACACGGCTTTCTCATAGCTTCAGTGAAAATACTCCAAACAGCCCAGAACTTCACAGGTTTGGTAACGATGCAGCCATCAATGCATCTAAGGTAGTATGGGGTGTCATCAAATGCCGTTGCCATGGCGACAGACCACTCGCCATGAAACACGATGAGGCTGTAAATCCAATCGACACGGTCCAATCGTCCCCCAATCTTCACTTGTATATCACCGGTCCATGCCTCAACAGCTCTACGCCAAATCTGAGATCTCATCATATGCCGTTTCCATGGAAACGCATCCCTCGCCATAAAATATGATGTCGTTATAAGTCCAATGGACACGGTCCAATCGTCCCCCAATTTTCACTTGTATATCACCGGTCCATGCCTCAACAGCTCTACGACAAATCTGAGATCTCACCATATGCCGTTTCCATGGAAACGCATCCCTCGCCATAAAACATGATGTCGCTATAAGTCCAATGGACACGGTCCAATCGTCCCCCAATCTTCACTTGTATATCACCGGTCCATGCCTCAACAGCTCTACGCCAAATCTGAGATCTCACCATATGCCGTTTCCATGGAAACGCATCCCTCGCCATAAAACATGATGTCGCTATAACTCCTATGCAAATGTTCAAAAAGTGCTCAAACTTCACAAGTGTGCTAACAGTCCAGCCGTGAAGACATCTACGGGACAGTTTTGAGATTTCCTTCAAATGCCGTTGCCATGGCAACACAACGCTCACCTTGAAACACGGTTTTCTCATAACTTCAGTGAAAATACTCCAAACAGCCCAAAACTTCACAGGTTTGGTAACGATGCAGCCATCAACGCATCTAAGCGTATTATGGGGTGTCATCAAATGCCGTTGCCATGGCGACAGATCATTCGCCACCAAGTTAGTTCAGAAGTTTGCGGTTCAAATATTCTGCTGCTTTTCCAAGCCTTTTCACTTTCTTTTATTCTCTCATCACACATTCAAGCCCCCAGTGTTCATGTATCATTTCAATCTAAATTATTCACTTTTTTTCTTACACATTACATTTCAACATAGCAGTTTAGCGTCAGATTTTCAGCATAAAGCATTCCCACTAGCAATTTCTTCAGGAATTGCATTCTCTAGTTACAGTATAACACCCAACTCTGGTCACTTGTAAGCAACAGCAGTTTTTCAAACACAATAGCCTCAAACTTTCCTGGGTGTTATATGTCATAGGACAAAACGTTAAAGCTTATATTAGGCTTCTGACCACATACACATTCAAGAAACCATTGTCTTCATGACAAGGGAAGTGGTGAAATGCCAAGTCATTTCTGGGTTTTAGGAATCATATACCACTCTATTAGAACACAGCACAACACCTTTGCGGCAGCTTAACTGATGCTTATAAAAAAAATAAGCAATGCCCTCAATTTTACAAATCAAATCAAGTTTTATTTATATAGCACATTTATAAACGATTTTTGGTCGAGCCAAAGTGCTGTACATAAGATAAAAATAGCCTACAGTAGAGACACTTTACAGCAAATACAACAGCACAGATTGTTCAGAATATCAGTATGAGAAAAACGACACCCTCTATCCTAATGATAATTTTAAGGTTTTGTACGATAGTTTGACATTTCCCATTTGGCAATGCTGCTAGGGTTAGGGATACATTTAGAGATATCTATGTGAACATGGTTTGTTTTACATTTGTTGTTGTTTACTCCATTTGTTGACATGTCAGAAAGTCATTTAAATATGTGTTTTGTTGTCTTGAGCCGCTGAGAGTGGGGTTGTTGAATTACTCCAAAGAGTTTTCTCTTTTGTTTTTATGTGATGACCAAAGAACCATTGACACTGGATGGTATGATCGAAAGTCAAAGGGCCTTCCTACATTAGCCTTAATAAAACAAGCAGAGGGAATGGCAATTTCTTAGTTTTTTTTCTCCTACATTTCTTATTCGACTTTTACATTGGCCTTTAAATCCCGTCGGTTCTTGCAACAGTAAAAAGGATCTTAATGATTCAGATTTCACACACTAAAACTACAAGAAAAAAAACATTTCACGACTGTCAATTCATTAAAAACTAATGAACTGATTCTGCTATTTTAAAAGAAGTACAATTGGGAAGATCACCTGAGTAACACTTCATTTCATCTCATGGTTCTTTAGCCATCTAACACATAATGCTTCTTTATTTCCTTCTCATGAAGAAAGGACTTAGTATTGCTAATCTAACCATCACACCTTGAGACTAGCACAAGAGACTAATACCACTCACACTGCGTTTTCTTCACCACAAAAGGACAAGAGACAAAAAGCTGTCTTGCTGAAAGCAACAGCAAAACACTCCAAGCAGTGATCAACACTTAGGCTTAAAAATACCTCACTCCAGAACACGTCTCTCACTCTACCCACGTACACTTAGCGTGGCCTAATTTCCTAATTTGATATTCTAATTGACATTGATGGAGCGAGAATTGGTTCAAATTTGGCTAGAATGAGCAGCTGTGCATACTGGAGGTAAATTATTAAAATTAGAGAGCCGCATTGAAAAGCATCATTACTAAGTGTGTACTGTTCTCGTTTCAACATATGGATATTGAACTTAACAGCCAGCTAAACTCTCCTCGGCATCATTCCTCCAAGGAACAGGCAGGTGTTGTTTTTGGCAGGAATTTTAATGATAAGAAGTGTAAAACTGAAACAGAATACATTTCTCCATAAGTACTCATAAAACAATGATATGTTCTTAACATTTACAGAATACATTTATTTTTTAAAAGAGCAGGTTATTGCAGGTAAATGTGCAATGCAACATTACACAGCATTACGTAACACATTATAACACAGCAACACGTTTTTACAAAAATAATAATTATCTTTACTACAAAATGATATTACCACAAATAATATCAAACACTTGTAGCTAAGATAATAATTAGTAACTTGATTTACTGATAATGTCACGTTTAGGGCTTAGAACGAAGGATGGATGGAGATTCTGCAGCGAGTGCTCCCATTACATGCTTATTGCATTAGTGTCCATGTGTAAAAGGACTAGTTATGTGTCGGCTCTTTTAAGTGAACAACGGGAGTCGGCTCGTTTTTATTTTTTAAAGTAATACAAGACAGAATGATATGATGATCTCCGTGCTACGGGTGCTCTGTGCATGCATGCAGTGACATGTAATATCCAAGGATTAGAGACTTGGATGCTGCTGTTTTGAGCATTGCAATATATTTATTTTCATTATGTTATTTATTTTTGATTATTTTTAGGCTCAGCAAAGATTTGTTGTCAGGTTGTATCGGTGTTGCTATCTGCTTTTTTTTAGCGTGGTTCTACAATCAGAGTCAGAGAGTTACAAGGGTCTGTAAATGCAATGAAAACAATTGGCCACAGCAAATCATTTATATAAAAAATGTAATTTTTACTTTTGAATACTTCAGTACAAAGGATGTTGTCGGAGCCATGAAACGTGTTTAGTAATCCTTTATGTTTTAATATAAGATATTTGTTTGATCACTATTGATTGGTTGGCTTGCTTGGGTCACATGGATATGGGCGGCACTCATTATAATCCTGTTCACCTGCATGAGGTGTGTGTGTGTGGAAGAGAGGGTGACACAGGGCCGTTGTATTTTTTTGTTGACCGCAAGATTTACGATTGCTTTGATTATTATAACAATGTATATGTCTGATCACCGAGTTTTTTGTCATTAAACTATAATACTACGAAACAAAGCTTTTGATCTCAGCAAGTACTTTTTTAGCGTGTCATACAACATCAAACAGGCCCAGCCTCAGCCTCTCAGCGACTTAGTTTGTTTCCTGCTGTTGCTATAGATGTATTGAATAATTTAAGTGATATATGTGTACACATATAAATCATTAGTCAAAACAGGGCTATATTTGATTGAATTATTAAAGGTATATTTTGCAGATAAACCTATTAACCCCGCCCCCTTAAAAAAAACGGCTCTTTTGAACGGCTTTCGCAATGGAACGGAGCTATAACATCCGGCTCCCTTCAAAGAGTCATAATTCCCATTGTCACTACCCGATCTGCCCCCCTGCCCGATCTGTACTGCGCATGTGCATGTGCATGTGCATGTACTTACTTGTTTGCCTGTCCTTGTTTGTCTACCCTCCCTCATACTGTAAAGCGTCTTTGAGTTGTGAAAAAAAAAAAGCGCTATATAAATAAAAATGCATTATTATGTGCGAGATGATCCGCCATATTGGACAACTCCGTACGGCAACCCAACTAGGACACTTGACACAGTGGCGTTTGGCAAAGCACACAGAAAACTCGAAAAACCGAGAGGGATAAGTTATTGTTATTACAACGTGACTTCACTATTATTCAACAACTCTTTTTATTGGGTTCTTTTATTTGGGGTTAAGTACATTGTCAGAATAAGTGAGAAATGGATGTAACTTCTGTTAGACAGCTATCATACTGAATAAATATTTACTGTGAATGTATGCAAAAATGTATTGCATATAGTTGTCTAACAGAAGTTAAATCCATTTCTCACTTATTCTGACAATGTACTAAAGCTGTTGAACCCCATCCCTGTTTTTCATGTCTCAGGCTCGAAAATGACATTTCCAGAACAAATGACCATATCTTCCCTTCTAAAAGGGGAAAATTAATAATGTTTTTTCTCAAAGTAATGATAAACCTGTGAGTTGGATGTAGAACAGTCATAATCAATATAGATGTTTTTTATTTGAAAGAAAATTCAGATTGAACATAGTAAAAAAACTGTAAAT